AAAAATTTATGAATGTCACTTAACACTACAAATAATGTGGTCCATACTCTGGACCAAAATTAAAGCTTCCAGAAGTGCCTTTGTAAGAGAGGGGCATGTTCTCAGCTCAGGCGGTTCTTTCCTGAGTGTGTCTCTGTTGCAGGAGGGAAACACCTCCCTGCACCTGGCTGCACAGCACGGTCACACTCCTGCAGTGCAGGTGCTGCTAACCCAGTGGGAAGAAATAAATGAGATGAATGAGGTACATGGTTCATTACAGGCAGGCACAGGGCTTAAATGGGGGAGGCCTGGAGGAAAAGAAAAGAATGGGAAGCCGGGCACAGTGGCTCACACCTATAATCCTAGCACTCTGGGAGGCCCAGATGGGTGGACCACTTGAGGCCAGGTGTTTGAGACCAGCCTGAGCAAGAGTAAGACCCCCCCTTACTAAAAAAAAAAAAAAAAAACATAGAAAACGAGGCAGGTGTCATGGCAGGTGTCTGTAGTCCCAGTTACACAGGAGGCTGAGGCAAGAGGATCACTTGGGCCCAGGAGTTTCACCTGGGTTGTTGTGAACTGTGACATCAGGGCACTCTACCCAGGAAGACAGAGTAAGACTGTGTCAAACAAACAAAGAATGGGAAGAAAACAAAGATGTTAGTGACATAGAATGTAAAATATGATGCTAAAAGATTTCTACTTTTTTCTCCAGAGTATCCTGCACCACTTCATTTATTGACCCATTCATTAAAAAGTTTTTAATATGTACTTTATGCTAAATAAAGTATGTATTCTTATTCTAGAAGCCTAAGAGCATGCAAAAAATAATGTATTGAGGGCCCACCCAGTAGCTCATTCCTGTAATTTCAGCACTCTGGGAGGCCAAGGTGGGTTGATTGCTTGAGCTCAGGAGTTGGAGACCAATCTGAGCAAGAGGGAGACCAAATCTCTAAAAATAGCTGGGCATTGCCGTGCACGTATTGGCCCAGCTACTAAAGAGGCTGAGGCAAGAGGATCACTTGAGCCCAAGAGTTTGAGGTTGCTATGGGCTCTGCCACCCCAGCACTCTATTTTTTTTTTTGAGACAGAGCCTCAAGCTATTCCCCTTGGTAGAGTGCTGTGGCATCACAGCTTACAGGAACCTCCAACTCCTGGGCTCAAGCGAGTCTCCTGCCTCTGCCTCCCAAATAGCTGGGACCACAAGCACCCGCCACAACGCTGGCTATTTTTTGGTTGCAGCCATCATTGTTTGGCAGGCCCGGGCTGGATTCGAACCCGTCACCTTAGGTGTATATGGTTGGTGGCTTAGCCACTTAAGCCACAGGCACTGAGCCCCCAGCACTCTACTGAGGGTATCAGAGTGAGACTGTGTCTCAAAGTAATAATAATATAATAATCCATGCAATAATAGTGATAAACAATTCCTTCCCCGGCCTCCCAAAGTGCTAGGATTACAGGTGTGAGGCACTGCATCCAGCTGGGATGCTTGTCCTGTTCTCTTCAAACTTTACCCCTGTGTGCAGAGAGAGCTGTTTTGGAGTTGGGGAACACTGGGCAGAATTCATAAAATCTGATTTTAATTGTAGATTATGATAAGTTTTATTAGGTTTCATTTGCACAAAATGAAATATACAGTGATAGTAAGTGTCATAATATTCAGACAGCCATGGGCTGCCTCTGCCTCCTGATACAGGCAGTTCTTGTATACTTGCTGATACTTCTTGCCAGAGCAGGTAGCGTGGCCATGGTCCGTGTGTCTATGCTCCAGAGCAGTGGTCTCCAAACACTCTTGGTAGCAAACACGTTTCAGTAAAGAACAGCTGTGCCCATCTTATATACACTTTTAAATGAATTAATATATTATAAAACATGTGCCAGAAAAATAAATTTTTAAAATTTGAGATAAAATATAAATATAAATAGCAGTTTTATATTTCTTTCCTACTCAAAGAATTATCTTCCAGACAGCTGATGTATTTTCCTTCTGGTTCCCTTTGGGTTGTTTTGCACATTCCTACAGTACATTTTTAGTAGCTGCCCAAAACTTATTCAACTCTCGGATATTTTGTTTGTTTCTATTCTTGTATAAGAATATACAAATATAATACAAACCTCTTTATATTACCTTAGTCTGAATTCCTCACTATTTCCTTTGGGCATATTCTTTTTTTTTTTTTTTTTTTGAGACAGAGTCTCATTTGTCACCCTTGGTAGAGTGCCATGGCGTCACAGCTCACAGCAACCTCCAACTCGTAGGCTCAAGCCATTCTCTTGCCTCACTCTCCAAGTAGCTGGGGCTACAGGCGCCTGACACAACATCCAGCTATTTTTTTGTTGCAGTTGTCCTTGTTGTTTAGCTGGCCCCAGGCTGGGTTTGAACCTGCCAGCCTTGGTGCATGTGGCCAGCACTGTAAACACTGCTATGGGCACTGAGCCACCTTTGGGCATATTCTTAGAGGTAGATGGTTGGGTCAAACATATAAATGTTTATTAGGCTCTTGACATATTAAAGATGTGAATTCTCTCCTTCACATTTTTTGCAAATATTTTCCCACTGGGGTTTATGTTTTGGCATCTCTTTTCTTGGAAGAAATGAGAAGATAGATCACAAGGAGAAATTCCTTTATAAGCAGGTAGCTGTCCTGGCACTTGGGATACAATTTTTGCACCCTGTTGGGATGGAAACTCTGGTTTCCCTGCTCTGGTGTTCCTGTTAACATGATTGTTCATAACTTAATAGCTACAAGTAAAACCTTCTGAACTTACTCTAATGTGCTTGTTAAGAAAATAATTTCTAAAGGGGGAAATGGCTAGAAAATGGGGAAGGAATTCTGCATTTCTTTTCAGTAAAGAAAGGAAGGAAGCATTTTTAGGGAAGAGTCAGCATGAGGAACAGGAAATATCCAGGCAGCTATTGTGTGGGACCAGTTTCTTCTTTTTCCTCTAAGTTTTGGCCTGAATTAAACTCTTGTTTTATCCTTCTAGTATTAATCCTGAGTTTCAGGAGAAGTATTGAGATTACTTTGTAAAAAATTAGTATTACTTTTTAAAAATGACATGCAGCATTTAAAATCCATTGTAAAGAATAAAGTGGTACTTTTTACAGGTGTACTTCTAATATTTTATGTTTTATGCAGCATTATCATTCCCTTAGCAGGCTGTTACTTTCTCCTGGACAGTGTCCGCGTTCTATGTATATTCCTGTCCTGACACACATGAATTGAATACATGCTTGCTTGATATTAGTTAATGAATGTTAAGAGTATGAATGACAGATGGAAAGTCTGAAGGAGGTACCAGGGTAGAGTAGTTAGGAGTGTGGGCTTTGGAGCCAAATAGCCAGACTTACATCCTAGCTTTGCCACTTTTCAGCCGAGGTTTAGTTTTCTTATCTGTACAAATGAGGATAATATTAACTCTGACCTTTGGGGTTTATGTGATTTAACTGTTCCCAGGCATCGTCTTGGCCGTATCACTGACACATAGTTGCTCAATAAATGCTATCCATTTTTTAATGTATTTTTTTCATGCAACACTGTTTGGAAGACAAAATGCTATTCCTTATCCCTTATTAAGAGTAATGCACAAAAGGTATAGAGAAAACTCCGCTGTCACATAATTTCATTCCTTGAAAAGGGACAATTAATTTAAATTCCTTTCCCTTTTGTTAGAATGGAGAAATGCCATTCTTTCTGGCTGGTAAAGGAGGCCATGAAGAATGCAGCAAAGTGCTACTGGCAGCGGGAAGTGATATCAACATTCCAAATAAAGTAAGTGCTCCGGCCATGCTTACACGGGGAGCTCAGATGTTCCTGGGGACTCTGGTTCTGTATCAGTCTACTCACTGGGACTTTCTTGAACTAATATTTATAATACATTTTGCTTTTCATAAGAAGTAATGGTTTAAATCTGATATTCCCTAATTAATGCCTCATCTACGGTATTACCATTCTTTTGACTCATTTGAGGAAGGAATAATCAAAGATTATTCAAAGGAGCAAGTACTTGTTTCAGCCACCCTTATTCCACTTCATTTCCTCCATAACAACTAGTACATGCCTGGTGTATACAGAGTGGATGGTGGGAAAAAAAGTTTATTGTCTGAGAGCTCAAGTGGTCAGCCTGGAGCATGAAAACAGCAGGATGGTGATTTCCTCTATAGACAGGACACTTTTGGATGTAGTCATGGTACTGAGACCCTTGAAAACTTTTGAGTCTGTATTACTTTCTTCATTTTTCTTTTTTTTTTTTAGATCGGAGAAGTAGAGTTTGGTCAAATCAAGGAACTTGTTCAATATCATACAACTAGTTAATGGCGGTGCAAAGTTTCAAACTCATGTCTGACTCCACCGTAATGGCCTTATTTTCAGATGGTTTACTTCCTTTCCCTATTTTTCATTATAATGAAAATAACTCAAGACAAAAAAAAAATTAAAAAGTACCAAAAGATAAATGATAAAACTGTGTCTTATTCCGACTCCACATCTCAATGGCATCTGCAGAACTAACATTGTTAATAGTTTATTTAGTCTTCCAGGAATTTTCTATTTAGTCTTCCAGGAATTTTACATGGATTCACATGGAAAACGTGATTGGAGACACACACACACACACACACACACATCTACCCCAACACCACATAACTGGTAGAGCACTAGAGTAGATGCTGCCCTGCATCTTGGTTTATTTTCTGATTGCCGACGAGATCTTTATATAAGCACAATATTGCAAACAATTCCTTCTCAAAAGGCACAAAATGAAACACGAGAATCGAAAATTAAGTCTCAAACTGGCAATGTTTTATGCCCTATATTCTGCTGGTGACAATACATATTCATACAACCCTTTTGAAAAGCAACTTTTCACTTTCTTTTCACCCGGGCATGGAAAGTTAAGTGAATACTCTAAAACAGTGGTTCTCAACCTTCCTCACGCCACGGCCCTTTAATACAGTTCTTGTAGGTTGTGACCCACAGGTTGAGAACCGCTGCTGTAAAAGGAGGGGAAAAGCTAGCTACGTGCATGGAATATATGTGACGAAGTTAGCTCCAGTAGCCAGGAATTAGATACAGCATATAGTGGAATGAATAGTAGGAGAAGGTGGATTAAAAGTTTGGGGCGTCTAGTTCTTGGAAAATTACATAGCCATTATAGTTATAATGATAGTAAAATATGTATTGCAATATGGACAGTTTTCATCATGGAACATGAATTGCCAAAACAATATATAATAATTTGATATAAACAAATAATATAATAACAAGATTAGTCTTATAGAGAGAGAGACAGGGATCGTGAGGGAAAGTGGGAAATGAAGATGGTCTGAGTGGATTCCCACTAAAGTTGCAAGGTTATCGATATAAGCAAACACAAAGGTAAGAATTCATGGGAGCCATGAAATATTCAGAACGTGGAGAACTGTGTCACTGTCAGTCATTGCCCAGATGCTGCCCTGTCCCCAGGCTGTATCCCCCGCCCAAGTTCCTGGAAAGGCCTCCCGAGTTAGCAAGACTCTTAGGCTCGCTCCATTACCCTGTACCCTCCCTCACTCTGTACTCATCCCTTTGCCCTCACAGGGATTTTGCTTTGTGATGATTTTCACAAGCAGACCCTCTCCCACCCGACTGAGACTGCAGGCATTCTGTTGACCATATCCTTACAGCCAGTGAGTGGCTCAGCTGCCTTGGGAACAGGCTCTATGCAGCCAGGAAATTGTCCTGGGTCCATTTTTTAGCTTTTACTTCTTCTAGACTTTTTCCCAGGTTCATTCTCATACTGTTCCAATCAATCACCTCAGCAGCCCCCGGCTCTGTCCAACCCAGTGCAGACCCTGGTGAGGCAAACATTGTGAAGCAGGAAGCCAACGGCAGGGACCAGGGACACCTGTTATCCTGGGGTGTGGCATACTTAGTTTTGCCTTCACACCTGTAGGTGTGTTTGATTTCTGTGTGATTTCTGTGTGTTTGATTTCTGTGTTTGATCTTGGAGATACTTCACCTGCTGACCAGATGGCTTTTGTCCTCTCTACCCCCACATCAGCAAGGACAGAGCGGGAAAGAAAGGTTGAGCCACTTCTGAGGAGGAAACTGCAGTGAGATTATGAATGTGGTGGATGGTAGTCTTCCTCCTGTGCTGGATGGGGCTTCCCAGAGTCTGGGTGGCTGACTGCCTTCGGGGCCTTATTAACGGCCTGGGGTCTGATGGAGACTTTCCTAGGTCCTAAGAGCTCAGATTTCTAGAGGTCCTACCTCATGTCTTATCAAATATTTAAGTGTTCCAACATTCCCCTTTAAATACATTTTTGTTTGCTGCTCTAAAAGGCTGTTTTTGTTTTTACAATTATTTGGCTGTGACAAACTCACCTAATTTATGCTTGATTTCTTAGAGCTTTGTGTACATAACTGGGAATTTGAGGGATGTGAAAAAATGTAACCTATGAATTGTTTACAAATATAATGAATATTTTATGAACGTTACATTTAATAATCAATGAAGTACGAATGTCAATTAAATATTTATTCACTTCAATTTTGTGGTTTTCTTTCAGTATCTTGGAACCAATACATTTTTATTTTTAATTTCAAAGATTTTTTTGGCTCTTAAGATGTCTATAGGCCCTACCCCACTGTAGTGCCTCAGGGGTAAATGCTGCAGATCCCCAGAGCTCCTGCTCCTACCACATTTCTGGTTGAGTTTGTCATAAATTTATTTCTGCTTTAGGTGGGCTCCAGTATTCTCAAAGAGGGTGCATTCTACCATTCTGATCTCAGTTTAAATGTCACCTTGGTTTTTTTTTTTTTTTCCTGAGACAGGGTCTTATTCTGTCTTACTTTGGAGTACAGTGGCTTGATCATAGATCACTGCAACCTCAAATTCCTAGGCGCAAGCAATTCTCCCATCCACATCAGCCTCCTGAGAAGCTGATACTACTGGTGCAGGCCACCACACCCCGCTTTCTTTTTATTTTCTTTTATTTTTTTAGTTTTTTGTAGAGATCAGGTCTCACTATGTTGCCCAGGCTAGTCTCTAACTTCTGGCCTCAAGCACTTACAGGGATTACAGGTGTGAGCTGCCCTACCCACCCCAAGAAAGCTTTCTTGATCACCCATGGGGAAGTAACCATCCAGTCATACTATTTTACTTCTCACTGTAGTACATACACCTAGTTGGTATTATTCTTCCAATATCATCTAGAACCTAATAAATAGGTTTATTTTACATCTACTGATTTACTGAACTACCAATCTACCAACTATGGATCATTGACTGTCCAACTCTAGTGGAATGTAATATGAGAGACCATGGCAGTTTTGTTTACCAACATGATCCTCCACCGTCTAACATACGTACTCAGTAATCTTTTCTGGAATGAATAAAATAATAGTTATGATTACTGTACACATTTACTACTCAATTATACTCCCAGAATTACTATGGCTTGAGAAAAAGAGGTAGGATGATTCAGTAGGCAGAAGAATGCTTCCCACCCCTGGGGATGTTCCCATCCTAATTCCTGGAACCTGTGAATATATTATATTTTATAGTGCCAAGGGGAATTTAAATTGCAGATGGAATTCAAGTTGCTAATCAGCGGATCCTTGATGAGATTTTCCTGGGTTATTAGGTGGGCCTGACGTAATCACAAGATTACGCTTCTTCTTTATCGCAGAAGAGGAGGTCAGCCAATGCAGTGTGAGGAGGACTCAGCTGTTTCTGGCTTTAATGACAGAGAAAGGAAGACGTGAGTCAAAGGACACAGGAGGCATCTAAAAATGGGAACAGCAAGGAAGCGGATTCCCCCACAGGCCTCCAGGAAGGAACCCAGGCTGTGAACATTTTAATTTTTTAGCCCAGTCAGCTGCCCAGTTCTGTCCTCCAGAACTGTAAGATGATACATTTGTATCAAGCCATGAAGTTTGTGGCAATTTGTTACAGCAGCAATAGAAAACTAATATAGATGCTTATGCTATTTTTACAGACAAAGAGGCCTCTATTTGACAGGCCACTCTCCAAGGTCAGAGAGGCACTTAGCATCAGCTCAAGCTCGATTTCAGTTGCTCGGAGTTATCATTCCTGTTAGTCTCTGTTCCAGTTATCTGTTGCTTTGCAACAAACCTACCCGAAGTTCAGTGGCTTAAAACAATTTGGTATTATCTTTTATGGCTCTGTGTGTCGACTGAACTCAGCTAAGAGGTTCTTACTTTGGGTCTGTTATGTGATTATAGCCAGATGTTGGACAAGATCTTGGCCATTTGATGGCTCACTCACATGCCTGGCACTTGATGGCAGCTGTCAGCTGGGTGCTCAGCACCAATTTGTGGCCTCTCAGGGTTCTCCAGCCTTCCTATAGGCTGGAAGCTGGGTTCTAAGACAAAGTACTGCAAGAGCAAGCATTGTAAGATGCAGAGAGCTGCAGCTCTCAGGCCAGTTGGAAACCCCCTTGAAGAAGGCACACTGCCACTTCTGCCCCATTCTATTGGCTGAAGCAGTTACCAGACACACTCAGATTCAAAGGAGTAGAGAGTAAGTCCCACCCTGATGGGGGAGTGGCAAGGTCATACTGCTAAAGGGCATGTGGGGCAGGAAACACTGATGTATGTAGCCATTTGGGGAAGAGGATTGAAGACAACATCCTTGTTTGGGAGACCTGAAAGTACTTTGTAGCAATCTCACAATTACTCAGTCAACCACTAATTCACTGGCCCTGTGTTACTTCAAGGCACTGCGCTGGGCTTTTAGAAAGAGGGCAGGCTGTGCCATTAAGCAGTGTGCCACCTTGCTTGTGCTCAGGGAATAAGAGGTGCTGAAGGAGCTGGGGGTGGGGGTTGAGGGGATGACCACGGGGAACACTCCCCCCGGGTAGGAATCCTGTTTCTCTTTGAGACCCTACTTAGCCCAGGGATGGGGAGGGTTGGGAAGAAAAGCTAACAGGGCCCCGGACCCTGCTGAGGCATTTCCTGGGGCCACTATCAAGTCACCTATTTAGGCTCAAAGAGAGGGTTTACTGGGTGTACAGAGAAAAGACTTGGTTCTAGAGTTCACTTTGTACTTCCAGAAGGGAAACAGATTTAAATCGTATTTGCCTGAGATATAGTGTCTTAGCTGCTATTTTAAAAAATGCTGATCCAATTATGTGACAACCTTTGTGTAATAAAAATTTGTTTAAAGTTAAAAAAAATAAAAATAAAAATAAAAAATGCTGTAAAACTGAGTGGCTTAAAGAACAAACATTCATTTCTCACAGTCCTGGAATCTGGAGGTCTGAGATCAGGGTGCTAACAGGCAGGTTCTGGGAGGGAGAGGGGGGCTGGTTTCCTGGTTTACAGTCAGCTGTCTTCTTGCTGTGTCCTCACAAGGCAGAAAGAACTAGCTAGCACTGGTGTCTTTTTTATAAAGGCACGAATCTGTTCATAAGGGCTCTACTCTCATGACCTAATTACCTCCCAAAGGCCCCACTTCCTAATATCATCTCATTGGGATTAGCGTTTCAGCACATGAATTATTGGGGGAGAGGGCACGAATATTCAGTCCGTTGCACATAAGTTCTCTAGGACTCTGATGCTTTTATGGGACACACTTAGAAATAACAGCTCCCCCCAAATAATTAGAAACACATTGGATTTTCTTTTTTAAAGACAGTCATGCATCATTTTACAATAAAATGTTCTGAAAAATGTGTTGTTAGGGAATTTAGTCGTTATGTGGACACCACAGGGTTCCTGTACAGCATGTTACTGCAGTGAATGATGTAAGGGAATAGTAACACAGTGGTAAATACTTGTATCGTAGGAATTTTTTGGCTCCATTACAGTCTTATGGGATCAGGGTTGTATATATGGCCTGGTGCTGACCAAAATCCATTGTTATGTGTCAAATGACTGTAGTTGTACTGTTTAGTTGTATGAATCGATTACCATGTGACAAACACCAGAAAGCAGGATTCTAATGGGACTCCCTCCCCACCTCTTCCAGCTCAGTATCAGTGGTTTGCAGATGGCAACCCGGAACGGCCATGCATCCCTTGTCAACTTTCCGCTCAGCAAGAGCGTGGATCTGCACCAGAAAGTGGAAGTGAGTCTACTCCGATGGTGGGGGCTTTGGTCCTGGCACCAAAGGTGGCTATACCAGGGAGATGGCCCTTGTCAGGGATGAGGTGTTTCACAGGGAGGAATTCTTTCTGGAAAGGCCGACTCACTTCTTTTAGAAATAAAATCGAAGATGAATGTCAGAAAGTCATTGTAGTTCCTGAATAAAATGTAATCTTTGTGCTTTAAATGTTTGTATTTGCTGCAGTGAACCTTTTTTGTATGTCTAGAAATTCCATTACTCTTGTATTAATTTTATCAGTCTGGGACAGTGATGAAGCTGCTGTAAATAGGAAGAAGAGTGATAACTTTTCCCCTTCACTGAGGGGTCTTGTTTTTCTTTTGGAAGTCAATCCTTTAGACTGACTTAGGTTTTCTAAAGTTTGCGGGTTTAACAAAGGCCTTCTGTGCTGGAATTACATGAGAAACTTTCCTCTGTTTTCCACTCTATTTTCTTTTCTCCTGTGAGAACATTATTTCCTCTGATCTGGCTGAGCCCTTAGTATTTATTATGTTAACTCAAGAGAGGGGATGTGATTTGAACCATGTCTGATAGATTTTGGAGCATGGCATTGGGGGAATTGACTCTGAACTTCACCTGGTTCAGTCCAAGGACACTTCCTTTTTCTCAGGAGCTGGGCCCCGGCGAGGACATGGCCCACTTCTTGGAGATGAGGGATGCTCAGGGCCTCAGGGAGGTCATTCCTGAGCAGAAGAGACCATCCGCTCACACACACACCCCAGGACCTCTGTTGCTTCTTAGATAGTCCCAATTTTGCATCGCTTTTCCTGTCCCCTCCCTTTGCTCCCTCCAAGTGCCGGCATACTCTTGTCAACTCGCTGCATCTCCCTGCCATCAATCTAGCCCTGTCTTCTGACGAGGAGTCTGGGTTCCAGTCCTGTCTCTGACACTTCTTTGCTCCGTGGCCTTTTGGAAGTTACTGATCCTCTCTGTGCCTCATGTATGAGTGGGGAATATAAGGTCAAACTCCTAGGGTTATGGAGAATGATACAGTTCCTGAAACGCTGTTAGCCCAGTGTTCAAGACAGAGTGTAACTGCTGGGGAGATACAGAAAGCACCACAATGAGAAGGAGGTGAAGGTACTTACCTTCAGTGTACCAGCCATATCCCCTGTTTCACTTAAGTGACCCTGCATGCAGCTTAATGGCCCATTGCATGCACACCTGTCATCCCTCTCCACTCGTTCTGCTCTCAGTTCCACTCCTGTTCTGCCTGTAGTATCCTCCTCCCTCACACCTGTATGCCTCCCCATCACTCCCCTCCCTTCTCTGCCCCGGCACCTCTCACCCCTCTCTCCTATCTTGATCCCTTCTACTGGAGCTTCCCCACCTCGCTGCCTTCTCCACTGCTGGAAGCCTGTCTCTCTTTGTGTCTTGCCCCCAGGGCCAGTGGCAGCTGGAGGGAAATGAGGGAGCAAGGAGTCTGGAGGCTGAGTATGTCCGGGGAAGGTCATGGTGACGATGTTTGCAAGGGGCTCCAAGTAGGGTTGGCAGAGAAGACAGGTAGTTTAGCCAAGAAAGGACCGAGCAGGACTTTGTGTAGGTGGGAGGGCTGAGTATGAGACATTGCGCCTGAGTAAGGGGGACATCAATCCCATAAGACATTTTAAGAGTGAGAGCTCCAGAGCAAATCAGTTCAGGAAACGCTGAGTGTTCAACTGTTTCCCCCTTCTGGCTACTCCCACTGTCTTTTAGCTCTTCAGCGGCTCTGTCAGAGAAGTCCTGCAGTTTAGCCTGTTTAATATTTTTTAAATTCTTCACATATGAGCTCAAATGTCAGTTCTTGAGGCAAGTCTTTTCTGACCTCTCCCCCTACTCCCTTGCTCTCTACTTTTCCTCCAAAAGACTTATCACAATTTTCACCCTGTATTGTGTGCCTTTAGAAAAACTATTTGCTTACCTCACTAGACTGGAAGGTTCCTGAGAATGAACTTTGTTAACCACTAAATCCTTGGCGTTCTGGAAAGGGCTTGGCCAACAGCAGGTGCTCAGGATATAGTTCCAGAAGGCATGAAGGGGGAGAGCTGATTGCTGGGGAGCTGGTGTGCTTTTCAACCTGGGAATGGCAAGGCTGAGCACACTGTGATGGGCAATTTGTTTGCGAGAGCATCAGGAAATATCTGCTGAAATGAGTTGCTTTTCAATTTGAATGATAAGCCAGAATCTTTTGGATTTGAAACTTTCCTTTCTCTCTGCAGCCTACGGAGTCCCCCCTTCATTTAGCTGTTATCAACAACCATATCACAGTCGTAAACAGTTTATTAAGTGCCCAGCATGATACTGGCATCTTAAATCAGATAAGCCTAGCAAACCAGAACCTGCAGAGTCGATTTTATGTTTCAACATAGTGTGTGTTTCTGGGGAGTTTTGATCAAGTTCAAGGTACCCTAAATTTAGGGGGTGGGGAGACACGGTCATTCTTTTCATCTCTTCTTCTGTAACTCTCACCCCACCCCCATGCCCACACACACAGTTTGTTTTTTTTCTCAGAAGGCAACTGGGGTTCAGCCAGTGCATGATTAAATCCTCATTTAGGAGGCCCAGCCAGCAGTTTGATAAACAGTAGCTCAGAGGTAAATTGCCACAGGCTCTTTAATCAAAAGCCACTCCCCGGTGTGAAATGTTATAGTTGGCAGGGATCCCTTCCCCACAAGAAGGAAGCTTTGTTTCTGTATTAGAGCCAGTAAATGTGTCTTCCCTTTGCCCAAAGGCAAAAGAGACCTCTTGGAATTAAAAAAAAAATGCTGCTGCCAAGTTTAATCAACTGGAACAGAACCCAATGCCCATAAAGGCAATCCATCCGTCAGGGGCTGGAGAGGGGAGTGCTGAGGGCGGGCACTGTGTGAACCGGCCTGCTTTCTGGGGCTGAGCTGCCCTCTTCCAGGGGACCATGGGGACGGGGAAGAGGAGCCCTTCCAGGGTCCTGAGGCCAGATGAGACCTAATGGATGCCTCTTCGTGAAAAAAGCCTCAGTGGTGCCCCTCCAGGGTAGGGAGACATCACGGGGCAGTTGGCACACCTGCCCTAACCCACTGTGTGGCCCTCAGCTTCCTCAGTGAGACCAGAGCATTGACTCAGATCTCTGCCGTCTCCCCTAACTCCAGCCTCTGAGTTAATTTTTGCTCTGAGCTGAATAAAGACTTATATGCACTTCTGTTCCCTCCTGGCCAAGGAAGTCTGTGCCCCCTTCCTGCTTTTACCATCCCAAAAGGTTTTTATGGGAGAGGGGAACATCTTATTGTTACATATACTTATGTATTCATTATGTTAATGCCCCAAATCTTTCCTATTGGTCTAAATCTTTGCTAAATCCACAGAGCCTTGTGCTCACATGTGAGTTTGGAGTCAATGGATGTGGCCAGATGTGTGTTTTAGGCTTGCTACCCCTTTACAGAAATAGACTTTATCATTCATTCATTTTCTTTGCCAGGGCAAGAATATACACACAAAATTAAAATATCATATTGTAAACATAAAATATTTATTCAAAATAAGAAAATATAAATAATCTAAAAAACCTTAAATGTGTCTGTGGTCCTCAGCAAAGAAAGAGACTCTTGCTACTGTGTCTGCATCTCCTGCTTTCTGGCCTAGTAGCGGGATTGCAAATGGGGGGTGCTGGCCCTTGTTGCATTACGCCTGTGTCTCTGTTCCACAGTGGCAGAGACTTTTGACAGGTTGTTAGTGTCAGTATGACATCTTGGGTGCTGTGCTTCCAGAGGGCATGCTGCCAGAAAAAGGAGGGTGCATGATAAATGCTTTTAGGGGCTGAGCATGATGGCTCACACCTGTAATCTTGGCACTCTGGGAGGCTGAGGCAGATGGATTGTTTGAACTTAGGAGTTGGAGACTGGCCTGAGCAAGAGCAAGACCCCCACCTCAATTAAAAAATGAAAAACTAGCCTGGCATTGTGGCGGGTGCCTGTAGCCCCAGCTACTCAGAAGGCTGAAGCAAGAGGATTGCTTAAGCCCAAGAGTTTGAGGTTGCTGTGGGCTGGGATGCCAGGCACTCTACTGAGGGCAATACAGTAAGAATCTGTCTCAAAAAGAAAAAAAAAAAAAAACCCAAATGCTTTTTTTGCAATAATCACACGGATGCCCCCAAGCAGGTTGGCCCTAGTAGGAAGAATCCTGGGCAACATGCCCTTGTCCAGCTGCCTATGTGACCCTGGGAAGTTGCTTTCCCTTCTGGTTAGGGGTTGGGCTAGATTATATCTAAGGTTCCTTTCTGCCCTCTTCACATCAGCATTTCTTTTGGTAGGAGGTTAATGTGGGTGATTTTCTTGTGATTTCACATATTTCTTTTGAAATACTGTCATCCTCTTGATGGGAAAATGATTACTCCAAAAGAGAAATTAAAGTCTTGAAGTCCTTTGTACATTATAATGTAGAAAACACTGAAAACAGGAAAGCATCAAGAAGGCAATAAAAATAAACTCTAATCCAGGCGTCCTCAAACTACGGCCCGCGGGCCACATGCAGCCTGCCTAGGACATTTATCCGGCCCACCAGGTGTTTTTGCCGCTGGTGCCTGTCCTGCTTAGCAGCCGACTTCGACTCATCCTGGAGCCCACAGTCTGGCCCTCCAATGGTCTGAGGGACAATGAGCTGGCCCCCTGTTTAATCCCTCCATCTAGACACCATGAACATTACTGATGTTCTGTCTTTCCTTCATTCTTTATATGTCTTTTTAAATTAAATCGAGCTCACTAAATATCATGTTGTTGTTTCCTAAGGTTTTTAATGTTATAAACATGTTTTAATTTTAAAAAATAATCTCATTATAGCAAAATATAATAAAACCTACCATTTTAACCATACGGATTGGTGTCATGAATTCTTATATTCACACTGTTGGATAACCATTACCACCATCCCCCTCCAGACATTTTTTCATCTTCCTAAACTGAAACTCCATACCCTTAATCAATAACTCCTCCTTCTCCTCTCCCTCAGGCTGTGGTAACTACCTTTCTACTTTCTCTCTATTTTAATGACAGTCTCACTCTGTTGCCCAGGCTAAAATGCAGTGGTGTCATCATAGCTCATTTCAAACTCAAACTCCTAGTCTCAAGTGATCTTCCTGCTTCAGCCTCCCAAAGTGCTGGGATTATGGGTGTGAATTTGACTACTCTAGGTACCTCATATTGAAATCATTTTCAAAAAATTATTTTGAGTGGTTGCCTACTATTTCTTTGCTTTTTTTTGAGACAGAGTCCTAAGCTGTCACCCTGGGTGGAGTGCTGTGGCGTCATAGCTCACAGCAACCCCCAAATCTTGGGCTTAAGCAATTCTCTTGCCTCAGCCTCCCAAGTAGCTGGGACTACAGGAGCCCACCACAAGGCTCAGCTATTTTTTGGTTGTAGTTGTCATTGTTTGGCAGGCCCAGGCTGGATTCAAACCTGCCAGCTCCGGTGTATGTGGCTGGCGCCCTAGCCGCTGAGCTACAGGCATTGAGCCAGTTGCCTACTATTTCAATATAGAAATGTACCAAAATTTATAGAACAAATCTCTTTTTAAACATGAAACTTCTTTCTACTTTTTCACTATTGTAAATAATACTGCAATGTCTTTCCCCCATCTGTTTAAATATGTACAACCTTATCCACTTTCCTATAAGCCTGGTATAGGACATCTCTACTTTGTTTTGTCATTTTGCTGTTCAAGTTTTTTTCTTCTCCCTCATTAATGTGCTTCAATTATTTTTTAAATTTCTCATGGCAGAGACGGCAAACCCCTCTGCACATAGCTGCTGATCTTAGAAACGTGGAACTGGTGGACACCCTGCTGAAGGCAGGCTGTGACTTGAAGGTTGTTGATAAGGTAGCTGTGTGGACTCTGGTTTGTTGGACTGAGATGGTTGCGAAGCCCTCCCTGTCGGCTGTCAGCCTTGCGCAGCTGAACAAACGTGAACTGACCACAAACTGGGGAAACCTTGCATCGTCACACTCAGTAAAACATCCCAGTTTTGGTTGAGATATGTCAGTATTTTTGCTCTAACGAAAAAAATGTGTTTTTACAATTCAAATTATTTATTAAAATTTTGAAAACATGATCTATTCACATGGTCCAAAAATTTAAAAATACAACTAGTAAGGGTTTTACAGTCAAAATTTCCCACCCACTCCTGTTCCTACTTGCCTGGTTACCACACTATGCTGGCCTTATGTATCCATGATTATAAATTTCTTCTGTTCCTTCCAGAGTTTCTGTATGTATGTAGAAGGAAACACAAATACATTATACTCTCATTCCATTCCCGTGCCCTTTCTAGACCAGTGTTTTTCATCCTTTTTTTTAATCTCATGGCCCACTTGAAACTGTAGTTAAATTTCCACTGTACACTTAAATTATGTTGATTTAAAAAAGAGTAAAAATAGAACATACTTATTGTGCTTTGAAGGCCTTTTGGAAATAATTTAATTAGTGATCTTTAAAAATTTTTGCAGCACACCTAAGCTCCTCTCATGGCACACCAGTGTTTCACAGCACAGTGGTTGAAAATCACTGTTTTAGACACTGATAGCGTCCCTCTATGCAATATACTATTCTGCAGTTATGTTTTTTTTTCCACCTTAACATTATAAAGTGGCAATTTTTCCATATCAGTACATGGACAGGTTTTTCATTCGTTATTTTTACAGCTGCATAGTAGACCATTCTATAAACGTATCATAATTTGTTCAACTAGCCCTCAACTGATAGACGTGTAAGTTGTTCCTAAATTTTTGCTGTTATAAACAGACCTGCCATGAATAAACTTACATGTATCCAAACTGTCTTTCTTTAATTAAAGACATTTGAATTATAGTAAATACCACCTAAAAATGTACCATTGGAACCATTTTTAAGTATATAGTTCACTAGTGTTAAGTAGATCCACATCATTATTCAATCCATCTCCAAAACTTTCATCTTGCAAAAGTGAAACTTTATACTTATGAAATAAGTCTCCACTTCTTCCACCCTAGTCCCTGGTAACTACCCTTCTGCTTTCCTCTGTGTCTATGAATTTGACTATGCCAAGTACTTCATACAAGTGGAATCATACAGTATTTGCTTTTTGTGACTGATTTTACTAGCATAACGTCTTCAAGGCTCATCTATGTTGTATAGCATGCATCAGAATCTTACTCCTTTTTTTTTTAAGACAGAGTAGCTCACGATGTTGCCCTTGGTAGAGTGCTGTGGTGTCATAGCTCACAGCAACCTCAAACTCTTGGGCTTAAGTGATTCTCTTGGCTCAGCCTCCCACGAGTAGCTGGGACTATAGGTGCCCGCCACAATACCTGGCTATTTTTTGTTGCAGTTGTCATTGTTGTTTAGTAGGGCCCACCTGGGTTCAAACCCACCAACCTAGGTGCATGTGGCTAATGCCGTAACCACTGTGCT